TCCCTCTCCCTCTCCCTCTCCCTCTCCCTCTCCCTCTCCCTCTCCCTTTCTCTCCTGATTTAGAGTAAAGGATGCTACAGAGGTTGCAGATGAAGAGATGCATTTGGCAAGGTGAAAGGAAGGAGGGTCCGGGGAGCTTCCATATCCTGTCTGGCTGTGCTACTTTCAGCTGGGAAAATTGTGGGGACCAAGCCCACGCCCCTTGGTGGCCAGTAAGGATGCCACTATGCCTAGCTTTTCACCTGGTCTGTTGCTCCTCCCAGTATTTGAGGTTTGAGAGGTGCTAGCCCCTGGTCCCTGAGTGGCTGTAGCCCATCCATCTGCCCCAACAGGAAGGCCCTGTTTCTCCTTCCTTCCAGAATTCCTCCCTATCTTTCCTATCTTTTTTTTTTTTTTTAAATTTTTTTGGTTTTTCAAGACAGGGTTTCTCTGTGTAGCCCTGGCTGTCCTGGAACTCACTCTGTAGACCAGGATGGCCTCGAACTCAGAAATCCGCCTGCCTCTGCCTCCCAAGTGCTAGGATTAAAGGCATGCACCACCACCACCTGGCTCTTTTCTATCTTTTAAGGACCAAATTCAAGAGCCACAGTGTAATTGTTTACCCAGACACTCCTCTGAATACATTTTTTTTCCTGTTAGTAGGACCCTGACAGAAGCTTCTGAGTAAACAAATACTTCATTTGAATAACCCTAAAAGCTAGATTACATGTTTTTCCTTGCTTCACAGAGTGCTGACATCATCTAATGTTGAAAGTAGCAGAGTAGCAGGTGTTTTTGGTTTGGGCGTTCTTTTCTTTTTTTTTTTTTTTGTCATTTTTTGCCTAGAATTCTGGGAAATATAAGTTTTTACCAGTAATTGGTGCAGAGTGTCTTTATGCTTTCTGAACCTCCAGAAAGCTTCCTGCCTGTGAAGGTCTAAATATCCTGCAGCTATTGTGAAGACAGCTGGAACAGATGTTCCTTTAGGAGTGGGGCAATGTTGCAAACTTTAATGACGACCAGGACTCTTCTCTGAAAAGTTTAAAGAAAAAGCAGGGTCTTTGAACACTTCCTTTTAACCATCAGAATGTCTTTTCCTTTTCTCTTTCTTTTTTCTTTCTTCATTTCTCTGTTTTTGTTTTATTTGCCTAGACATAAACTATTCCTTCGGCTGTCTTCAGCTGTCTCTTGTTTTGATTGAAGTCCTGTACACTGACATCTTTGGAATACCAAGGGGCAGTGGTCTTTTTATTTGCCATTTTCTCTTGACAGGTTCAACCCTCAGCCTTCTTCCTCACCCAGGGTGGGAACTGTGAGAGACTTGGAGCCTCTCCTGTTAACTGGAAGGAACTGGGCGTTGCCATGCACAAAGCCAAAAACTTGACCTGGGCTGAGGAATGGGAACCCAGCAGCTGTACCCCTTAGAGCGGGGCTGGCTGCCAGCTCTCGGGGCATCTGGAGACTGGGGAGGAATTCCTTTGCCTGGACAAAAGGCTTTTTTCTATTCTGTTCAGTGCCTCCTGTCCTGATTCCTCACCTGCTGCGTTTCAAAGAGTTCTTCAGTTAACTCCACCCTCTCACTGAATTTTGCAATTTGCTGTCAACTTAACCTCTCTCTGGCTCTGTCTCTCCCTCTGGAGCTGCGTTTCTCTGCAAAGTTGAAAGCCGACCAAGTTAAAGTTTTCTTTAACTTTTTTCTCCCTGGGTTCCTGGAGCCGACCCTCTTCTGACCTACATACAGGGAAGGCTACATCTGCCCACCATGTAAATGTCACTCAGCAACCCAGAATTTTCAGTTTGGGCTGCCCAGAATGACCTAGACTCTAGGTCCTAGAGGCTGGCGAAGGAAGGAGCCGGACACTCATTACAGTAGCGCTCTGGTGTCAGCATGCAGCTGACCTCCCTCTGTGGCAAGCCCCTGCGCTCCCCGGCGTAATGAGCAGGTTTGGGTTGAGTGTCTGCCCATGTTTGTTCCACGTCTCTTCCATGCTCTTCTTCTTCCTTCATGTTAATTATCTACCCCTCTTTGGGTGGAATGCTTTTATTTTATCGCCCACTCCATAGGACCCAGGGTCCTGGGTACGCCCTGACGCTTATTTGTCTGCTCAGCCTGGCCCTTGCTTCCCTCCTAGCAGCCTTTGTACCGGGGTTCAGATAGAAGACTGTGGTATGGATCACTGAAGTGTTTCCAGATAGTTAATAAGGGCAATTCAATTGTGTTCAGGGTCCCATCCCCCATCTGGCTTCCTTCTTTAAAAATTTAAATTACATTTTAACTAGTCCGTCTCTCCCTTTGCCTCCCCCTCCCCCTCCTCCTCTCTCTGTCCGGCTCAGTCTCTCCCTCCCTCTCCTTCCCTCCCTCTGGTGTGTGTGTGTGCGCACACACACACACACACGTGCATGTAGGCATGCGCACCATAGCTCATGTGTGGAGGTCAAAAGACAGCTTTCAGGGTTCGATTCTCTCCTTCTACCATATGGGTTCCAGAGACAGGACTCAGGTGGCCAGGCTTGTTGGCTTGGTGCCAATACTTACAATGCAGTCTCCGCTCACTTTTTAACTGGGTCTTGGTCACTTCTGTTTGTCAGCTTGCTGTTGTGCCTCATACCAGATGAAGCCCTTCATCTCTGCGTTTTAGACCTCTCAGATAGGTGACTGTCCTCAAAATGGCCGTTGAAATCTGGGGCACAGAAAGGTTTTTCTTTTCCTTGAGAGTTCAGTCTTCCCCCATATCAGGCTTTGTATTGTGGGCAGAGAACTCATGCGAGTCAGGAAGAGTCCCACAGGGCGAGCTGTGGGTGTCGCTCCGTGCCAGAACACTTGCTTAGTAAGTACAAGGTCATGGGTTTAATCCTGAGTATTGCCAAAGCTGAGCAATGACACCTCAACTTCAAGGTCCAGCCTGGGCTACATGGTGAGACTATCTCAAACAATAAAATAGAACACAAAAAGATTATGGGCAATTGCTTCCTTCCCTCCTGAGCTCTCTACACTTAAAATGGTATCTCTTTCCAGAGGATTGTGGAGAGAAAAAGATCCCCAGTAAAGTCCTTTGCAAACTGCCCTGAGCTGGGAGAAAGGAGCAGAGGAGTTGTCCTGAGCTGAGAAAGGGCCCAGCATGGAGACTTGGATTCTTTCTGCTGAGTCTCCGGGAGAGCCTGCCCACACCAGAGGTGGGACTGGATTCCCAGAGGGTCTTAAGGAACTCCCAGAACTGATGGGTGCGGTGAGTCAGGCCCTAGGCTAATGTGGTCCCAAGGGCGGGAATCACGGCAAGCTACTTTCAACGTTCACTTCCTAGGCAAGGCTAGAGCCTGTTTTTAAAAGGGTGTGTGTGGGCCAAGCCCAGAGCAGCCTGGGACATTTCAAACTGGCACCACCTCCTCTGGCTGCTTCTGAGGCCATCCGGAGGCCAGGGCTCGGTCAGATGAACGGAAAAGTAAAGAGGACCGCAGAGTTGGAGACCTTTGCGCAGAGGGCTGGAGTGTGGAGGAGGGCGGGAGGGAGAATCGGGAGGAGGGCGCTGGGTGCGGAGGCCCCACCTTTCATTCCAGAGCTGTACCGGCCTGGGCGGGATGAGTCACGACTGGCTGGCTCTGCTGTGCACCTTCCCGTAGGTGAGGGACTCGGACCTCTCTGAAGGAAACTGCGGCGCCTGCTCGTCCTAGCCTTGCCTTTGGCTGGGAGTCCTGGGTCTGCCGGGTCTGGCCTCTGGGGCCACGGGCTGGCTTTCCCTGATGTATGGCAAGAGCCCCGCGCGTGTGCTTCCACTTCTCCTGAGCTTACAGCTCACAGGTAAGAACTGGCGGGCTTCTAGGATTTTCTACATCACCGCCCACTGTAAAGACAGAGCTCATGGCTTGAAGAAGTCCCAAGGGCTCAGTTGGGAGATCGAGCCCCAACTGCAGTTCGTTCTAGTCCAGATTTCGGTGAAACTTCAATTCTGTGGGTTGCTTTGGGGCAGTATTTTGGGCAAACAGGTTTAGGTGTGTTTGGCCGCCCGTGATTCAGGCACAGAGAGGGCTTTCTGATCTCAGGTTACACACCATCTTTGTGTGGCTGCTCTCAACCTCGGGCTGCTGGCTAGATTTGGCCCTTGGATTTCCGTGGGAGGATTTTGTCTGCGACTCCCTGCAGCACCACAGAGCAAACCTAGGTTATCAGAGCTAGAGTCCGGCTGTGGTTTTGAAGCTGTCCCAATGCATGCACCGGACTTGTAAATAAGCCACGTGGTGTAAGGGTCCCGGGGTAGGGGACCAGGCAAGCACAACTGCTGAGGTGGATTGACCTGCAGGCTAGCAGCAACCCCATGTCTACATGCTGGAAAGCTTACCTGCTTGGAAACTTTTTTTTTTTTAAACATATACTGTGTTGCTTGATCGTAATACATCGTGTCTGACCAACGTTTGGATTTTTGTTTCTGCTTTCCATCTTTGCTGATGTTTGTAGTTTCTGGTTATAGTTCTGAAATTGGTACGGTAAGACTGTGAAGAAAGTGAGCGCACCAGGTAGTTTTACTTCTAATTGGCCCTCGGGATGGGAGAGTCAAAGTTGTGTGCAGGTAGGAGTATGCAGACTCCCGGTGAAGTGAATTTGAAGGTTGGCTTATTTGGAAAGTGTCAGCGTCTTTTCTCAATGATACACCGCCCGCCCGTTAACCTCTTCCTTCCTTCCACTGCGGCCTTTTGTCCTACAGCTGCTGTGGAAATTTACACCTCCGGGGCCCTGGAGGCAGTCAACGGGACAGATGTTCGGTTAAAATGCACTTTCTCCAGCTTCGCTCCTGTGGGAGATGCACTAACTGTGACGTGGAATTTCCGACCTCGAGATGGGGGTCGTGAGCAGTTTGTAAGTAGATTCTTGTCACCTTCCAGAGGACTCTTGACTAGGATGCATTTGGCAATCCTTTTTTCCCCTGGCCTTTCCTGGGTTAGGCACATGCATGGGGTTAAGTTGGGAACCAGTTCTTTCGACAGAGAGTTATAGGTCTGAGAATAAGGGAAGCCAGAGAATGTTCCAAGGAGCTGGCCCATTGGTTAGACGTGATGATGCTTCTCTTCCACCCCCACCATCTCAGCCTTCTGCCCTGGACAGAGAAGGAAAGATCACCCTTTCTCCTCTGTAGGTATTCTACTACCACATGGATCCCTTCAGACCCATGAGTGGACGGTTCAAAGACCGGGTGGTCTGGGATGGAAACCCTGAGCGGTACGATGTCTCCATCTTGCTCTGGAAGCTGCAGTTTGACGACAATGGGACATACACCTGTCAGGTGAAGAATCCACCTGATGTTGACGGTCTCATCGGGACAATACGGCTCAGTGTTGTGCACACTGGTAGGTTTTGGGAAGTGAAAGCTCACACACACAAACACACACACACACACACACACACACACACACACACACACACACACACAGCCATCTTTTGTGAAAGCTGGAAGGGAGAGGAGAGGGTTTAGGTCTTCAGAGCTGGGAACTTCAGAGACTGAGGAGTCCTGGGGTGAAAAAAAATGCTTTGTTTGGTCAGGGAAAGAAACAAAATAATACAAAGAAATCTGAGGAATCTGTGACAAGAACGGCCTTGAGGTTGTAGAAAGGACAGGAAGTGCCTGATCAAGACGCTCACAATAGGCCTGTTCATTCTTTCATTTATTCAAGATGCTTATTGGGTACCTGGTGTGCTAAGCACAGCCCAAAGTGCTTGGTTCACTAGCTCATTTAATACTGACAACACTCTCCATAATGGTCACCAGTGTTTACTCAGGACTCCCCGATGTCAGAAGCTATACGATGTACATTTTATTTATTCTCTTAAAAACAGTTTAACAATCATTATTTTATGTGCATGGGTGGTTTGCTTCCATATACGTCTGTGCACCACTTAAGTGCCTGGTGCCCTTGGAAGCCAGAAGAGGGTGTCAGAGCCCCTGGAACTGGAGTTACAGATAGTTGTGGCAGAGCATGTGAGTGTTGGGAATCAAACTGAGGTCTTCTGGAAAAGCAGACGGCGAGGTTAACTGCTGAGTCCTCTCTCTAGCTTTGTCTTACTTATTCTTTGTGCATCTCCTGAGTCTGCTATGTATTTAGTGTCTCCCGTTTTATTAAGAAGGAAACTGAGGCTCACCAAGTGTAAGTCACTCCCCAATTCACGTAGTTAGTATGGAAGTCCCTCACCCCTAACCATCTCAGACTCTCGAACTGTTCTCCGACTAGTGTAGTGGGTTGCCCGTACTACAAGAACAGTCTAGAAATGATGCCGGGTGACAAAGAATGTGGACCACAACTTCTGAGTTGGAGAACTGCAGCTGAGCCCCGGTTACATGTGTATCAGCCCCGGTTACATATGTATCAATTATCCGTAAATGTTGCTTTTGTCATCTGTACAGTGAGAATACTATAACAAAGGTTTCTGTGAAGACAAGCGATGTAACAGATTTGTGAAAGTCTTCCAAACTCTGAGTTCTACTGAAGATTATAATAGTAACATGTGCTCTTGTTATGGGCAGGCACAGTTTTATTTATTGTTATGTCTTCACATAGGAAACTGAGGTTCAATAAATAAATAAACAAATAAATGAATAACCCAGGTTACACAGCTAATAAGATAGAGCTAGCTCTTTCTGGTGTGCGTGTTGCTATTTGAGAAAAGATCTCTCTGTGCAGTCTAGGCTAGCCAGGCTGGTCTCAAACTTGAGATCCTCCTGCCTCAGCTTCTTAAGAGTTGAGGTAGTATGTATTCCTAACACACCACATTGTTCAAAACGCCTTAGTCTGTCATGTGGTGTGGTTGTCTCCTCAGTTTAGTTTAAAACCACCTTTCTAGGCTCTCCTCCCAAGAGAGAGCCATGTGGTTTACGTCAGTCCTCTGAGTACTGAAAAAAGTGAGGTAAAAGTGATGTGAGACCTCAGATTTTTTTTCTTTGTTTTTCTAATAGCTAGGCAAAAATCTCAAAACTCCCAAAACAAAAACAACAAACACCACCACCACCACCACCACACACACACACACACACACACAATCTAGCAATCACTTAACATTTTTTGAGAGCCTACAGGAAGCCGTGGCCCTGTTTCTGTATTTTAAGAAATGGAGGTACATCTAAAGAGACTGCCCCTTCTCCATCATGCGTTTTGGTGTTTTTCCTGCATGTATATCTATGTGCCTGGTGCCTGCAGAGGCTAGAAGAAGCCACTGGATCCCAGGAGCTTCATCTTTGATAGATTCCAGGCTGGAAAGTCCTGGGATAAATATCCTCCTGATGTCCCTTCTGGATGTTCCTTATCCGTTTACTTCCTGTCTTCCCTTTCATTTCCCTTATAACAGCAGGAGCACAGTAAACACTTTAAAGCCTGGGCAAATGACTGACTGAGGGGGTGAGTAGGGTTGCCTTGAATTGAGTTGTGCATAGGTCCGACTAGACCAGCAAAAACTTGAATTACTGGGCAGTTCAAGTGACTCAGTGGTTCACAGTACTTGGGTGTCGTCATCATCACCTGGAAAACATGTTCAAACATGGATTGCTGGATTTACCCCCAGTGCTTCTAGTCCAGCCCGTTTGGGGTGGGGCCTGAGAATTTCACTTCAAAGTTCCCCAGAGGAGCTGTCATTGCTTTTAGAGTCACACTAGAGAAGCCCCGATGGAGTCTGTGTAGGTTTCCCACTGCTGCCGAAGGCTACATGGTCTTCACAAAAGTAGGAGAGGAAGAGTCCGGTTAACGATGAGATGCATCGACAGATCTCACCTAATTAGCTGCCATCTTGTTTTTCTCCCCTCGCAGTGCCCTTCTCTGAGATCTACTTCCTGGCGGTGGCCATTGGCTCTGCTTGCGCACTGATGATTATCATCGTCATCGTGGTGGTCCTCTTCCAGCACTTCCGGAAAAAGCGATTTGCGGAAAGGGCCGATAAAGCTGAGGGGACAAAATCGTAAGGCTGAGTGAGCGCTGGTGGGAACCCCTGCTCACACTCTTAGGGTGGTTGGCGCTTGGGATTTTTTTCATCGGGGCCAAACAACTGTTGTGGACAGTTGATTTTCTTTTTGAGCAAATGTATGAGAGGTTTCCAGTTCATAGGACAGGTAAGTTAGGGCATCACGAGTGGTGACACAAAAGGCTTCTTAATGAGATGGCTCAGTGGTTAAGAGCACAGAACGCTTTTGCAGAGGATCTGTGTTCAATTCCCAGCACCCCTATCTGGTGACTCACAACAGCCTGTAATTTCAGCTCCAGGGGGAATTAACACCTTCGGTCTGTGTGACCTCATGTGCACAAACTTGCATTCGGACAGACACATACACGTATTTAAAAACAAACTAACAGCAGCAATGGAATTCAAAAGGTTTCTTAACTTTACAAAAGGTCTCACCATAGAATTTCATTATTATGTGGAATTTCGGTGCTATAAAAAACTCGTATATGTGAAGCTTTAAAGATATCCTCTGTGAAGCGAAACACACGTGTAAAGGGATATAGGGTGAGGTCCTCAGCCGTCCCTTGGACCCAGAGGCTGGAAAGTTTGCTCTCGCGACAGTAAGTGCTCAGTAAACATTTTTAAATTGAGATAAAATGTATAAGCTACAAAATTCACTTATTTGGGCCAAAGAGATGGCTTAGCAGTTAAGAACACGGGCTCTTGTAGAGGACCTGGGTTGGGTTCCCAGCACCCATATGGTGACTCACAAATGCTTCTTACCTAATTTAAGACATGACTCTCTTACTGATTGGCTAGCAACCCTCTGGGATCCTTCTGTCTCCACCTCCCATCACTAGGACTAAAGGGGTTCACTCTTGGGGCTGGTTTGCACGGTACCCAGAGATCTGAACGTAGATCCTTGCACAGCAAACAGTTTACACACTGAGCTCCCTCATTCGTTTTTATGTCTGGATGATACTCCAGTATAATGGACATACTACATATTTGTTTTTGTCTGTTCAATGTGTTCTTCCCCTTTGGTTATTGTACCTAATATCAATCACTACAAACACACTCTACACACAGTTTTGTATACACATACTTTCAACTCTTCCCAAAAATGAAAGAAGAAATAGCGTCAAGTCATTGATAACTGTTGAATTTTTTTGGAGGAATTTTTTGGAGGGATTTTTTTTTTGAAGGAGTGTTTTGTATGGGCATTAGGATATCTCCACTTAGCTGGGTGTGGCGGTACACAACTTTAATTCCAGCACTTGGGAGGCAGAGGCAGATGGATCTCTGCTCTACAGAGGCCAACCTGTTCTACAAAGCGAGTCCAGGACAGCCAGGTTATATAGAGAAAGCCTGTCTTGAAACAAACAAACAAACAAACAAACAAACAAACCGACTAATCAAACACAAAACAAAACAAAATCCAACAAAAAACTTTCTCCACGTTCTTACTTTTGATTATTGCCCTCTAGTGGACATGAGGTGGTATGTCAGTGAGATTTTTGGTTTACATCTTTGTGATGACTAATGGTCCTCACCTCAGGTGATTGATTAGCCGCTGTTTACAGAGCTTCTCTGGAGATGGATCTATTCAGATAGTCCGTCTGCCCTGAAAATGAGGTGGATGTCTTCTTCTTGTTAAGCTGTAACAGTTAGCTGTCTGGCCCCTTTAAGCTGTGTTACCTGCAATTGCTGCCTTTCTCTGGGTTCTCTCTGCCTCTTCTTGAACATTATCCATCAAGATACGAGAGTTTTCTGTTTTGATGAAGTCCAGCTCTTCTAAATGTTTTGTAATTTTAGTTATATTCAGGTTTTATGTATAATTAAGAGTCTCAATGCGTTCTTTTGCATATGAATTTATAAGTAACCCTCCCAGAACCATTCATTTATTTTGATTAGAAAATATTTACTGAAATAAATGCAATCGATTGTGAAGCATCTAAGGGACCCATCAACAGCATTCTGATTCGAAGAGAATATAATCAATCAAGGAGATTTCTAGGTCAACCAAAAAAAAAAAAATCTTTTTTTTCCTTTTTTTGCAGAGGTGTAGACATTCGAAGTCAGACACCGTGGTAAAGCATAAGTGTGCACTTTAAACGCCCATAGTACTGTATTAGATCCCAGGGGAGTTATCTTTCATTCTGAAAAGTGAATTTGAACTCGTAGGTCACACGGGGGGGCATTGGCATTATCATTTACACGGCACTGGCAGTTTAGTTCTCTGAATTTTGAATGGATGTCCAGGTGTCTGTAATTCTTCCCAAAGCATGAGCCAGGATACCTCTCCTGATGCTGCTATGGGACCTGCCACCTTTGCTTCCTCCTCAGTCACCTAACATTTGACTTCTGCTCCTTGGTTACAGAAAAGAAGAAGAGAAACTCAACCAAGGGGCCAAGGTCTCTGTTTATGTGGAAGATACAGACTAACACTGTGAGGTAAGGGTCACACGCGGGTGACTTCTTTCTTCAGTTTGCACAGCTGTTAGCTCATCTCCAACAGAGATCTCTCGAGTCACTGTACGATGATAGCTGAGGACACTTCCTATTCAGAAGCAGAGACTCTTGGTCAGGCAGATTAGTCTCCTATTAGCCTCAGAGTTGACTTCCCCTTTCAGAGTACCTGAGTATATGATTAAGGAGACAGACTGAGCCTTTAAGGCTGAGAGGATTCTACTGTTTGAGGTTGGAGGGTTCTATTAGCCACTACCAATAATGAACTTCCAATATGTGAATCAATTGTGTGTGTATTTGTATGTGTGTGTGTCTGCACATGCCTGTGGAGATCAGATGACAACCTCACCTACCATCTACCTTGGTGTGTATGTGTGTGTGTGTGTGTGTGTGTGTGTGTGTGTGTGTGTGTGAGAGAGAGAGAGAGAGAGAGAGAGAGAGAGAGAGAGAGAGAGAGGGAGAGAGAGAGAACAGTCTCTCACTTGGCCTGGGCCTTGCTGTTTAAGCTAGGCTGTGTGGTCATCGAAGCTCCTCCTCCTCTCTGCCTCCCCAGTGCCTGGATTCTAAGCATGTGTCTCCGTGCCCAGTTGTTTACATGGTTCTGATGATTGAACTCAGACCTTGATTCTTACATGACAAGCACTTTACCAGCTGACTTATCTTATCTGTCCAGCTCGACATTTCATTTGAAGTGAAAAGATTAATCTCCGATGGTTTGGTTTTTATTACGAATCATTTAAGGCGTGACGGTAGGTGATCTAAGGATCAGAGACATGGCTCTCTGGGTCAGACACTTCCTGATCTTGCAGAGTCCCCCCCCCCCCAATTCAGTTCTTAGCACTCATAGAGTGGCTTGAAACCATCCATCCCAGGTCCAGGAGATCCAAATTCTCTTCTGAGCTCTGTGAGCACAGCACACACGTGGTGCACATACAAATAAACAGGCAAAACACTCAGAGAATAAAATAAATCAGGAAGATTAATGAAAAATTAACCAACTAATATCATCAGGTGTAGTCTGTGGTTTCTGATAGGAGATACAAATTTAAACAAATTACAAAAAATTTGTGGAGTTTGGGCTGGACATTGCCACATGCCTTTAATCTTAGCATTTGGAAGGCAGAGGCAGATGGATCTCTTGAGTTCCAGACCAGCCTAAGCTACATAGATTTTTTTGTAATTTGTTTAAATTTGTATCTCCTGTCAGAAACCACAGACTATACTCTGTCTCAAAAAACAAACAAACAAACAAAAAAGAAACCAAATCAACCAAACCAAACAAAATTTTCATTAGGAGTGGATGATGGATGTCGTGTGTACATGCTAGGCACTGCCAGGTATTCCTCTTGGACTTTTCTCAAGGACATTGACCTTTTAACCTTTTGTATTCCAGAAGCTGAGGATTTTCAAAGACTGCACCAGCACCCCCTTGAAATCAATGGACATGTTTCCAGCGATGACCTGTCATCCTACAGGTTCTGCAGCACAAACCTGCCTAGATGAGCAACGCCCCTGACTGGCAGCTTAGGGTTCTGCCTGAGCCACTGGACTCAGGCTTACCTTCATCACTAGGGTTCTGTCTAATCCCAGAGCACAACTGTGTGTCAGCTTTTGTAAACTGAGAGGTTACATATTTGTCCTTCCACATGCCTATGGTGTGTGACTCCTATATTCCTGTGTATATTGGCATCAAAGGGGTAAGAAGCCAGCTAGCTTGTTTACCCAGACATACGTTCTCACATTTCAGTTTCTTTAGAACATCGCACAGGTGTGCTAAAGGGTCTGGAGAGATGGCTCATCTATCCTCTTTCAGCAGATCCCAGTTCAGTTCCCAGCACCCATTTGGTGGCTCACAACCATCAGTATCCAGTTACAGGGGATGTAGAACTCTCTTCTGGTATCTGCAGGCACTGAATGCACATGGTACATGCAGGCAACCATCCTCCCCGCCCCCATAAGATAAATTAAGTCATAAAAAGATGAGCTAAATCTTCCAGCCATTCTTGATTAAAACCAAACCCCAAAATTCACACTGGAAGTCCGATTTTCATGGCTGTTTTGAAATGGAAACATCCTGTCTTACTGATTATTTTTCAGTGTTCTAGGTTTATTGTGTTGTCAATTACTCTAAGGTTTATAGGTGACAGTGCAAGTCTGAGCACAATAACTACAAAAGGTCCCCAGAACACCAGGATATCAGCAAGTGCTACCAGGATGAATCTCTCAGTACCACTTTTGTATTTATTTATTTATTTTTAGACAGGTTCTCACTATGTAGCGCTGGCTGGTCTAGAGCTAACTATGCAGAGTTGGCCTCAAACCTAGAGACCCCCTGTCTCAGCTCTCAAGTGTCCCACCAACGTCTAGCCCAACTGGAGGTTTGTAATGAGCACTGATTGCTTGGTATGTGTTCTCTTCCACCCCTACCTTAGAAGATTCTGTTCATTTGCAGGTTGGAGTCATTGAGCAATTAGAAGACGTTGTGATATACTACAACTTAAAAAAAAAAATTAGATTTGTGAAGAAGGCCAACCCAAAGCAAATGACCATTTTTAACAGTCTTATGTGTGAGAACTGGAAGAGATTATTTAAAGTTCTTTTGGTTTTAATTCACCTTATTTTAAGGAGAACTTCCCGTGGGTCAAAGAAATACCAAAACTACCTAAATGGAGTGAACCAATTTTATTTTTCCCTTTATTTGAGTGTAAAGCAAACTTCTCAAGAGGCCTATGGAAAGAGGAGGGATGGCTTTCTTCCTTTCATCTAGTTACACGGTCTGTGCACACCAGCACTGTTTGGAGTGCAGAGGACATCTAAAAGTTCAGGTCCAGGGTGAATCTTTGCGACGTGATGGTTTAGTCTTCACTGACTGGGCTGCACAGATTATTATTATTTTTAATAAACTGGAATTTCCAAAAGATTCTATTTCTCCATATTGGATCTTGATATTTTACCCAGTCTTTAAAAACAAATTGGCATAATTAACATATACATTTTGGTCTTGAAATTCATTCTATACCTCTTGCTCTGTTTTTTTTTTTTAATAATGCCTAAAAAGGCTTTTGTTCTAATTTCTCTCCCTCCCTCCCTCCCTCCCTCCCTCCCTC